AGACACCCTTCGAAATTCCTAGCTGAAGAGTCACCGCACCCTTTTCGCCGATCTCTCTTCTTTCTCTCTCTCTCCCCCTCTCTCTCGGTCCTCCCCAGCCAAACGGAATTGCTCCACGGAATCGCTCGTCCTGGCAATCTAACTGCTCTCAGGCCCGATAAAAGAAATGGACGAACCCTTTTCGAGATCAACACTCCGCTCCGAATGCACCAACGATATTACGCCGAAGCAGCTCGAAGAAACTCTTTGAGGTTTTTCGGATAGCAATCCGAACCTTAATCGAATCTTTTCAAAACACGAACATCAGCGTAATCCATCAAGCATAGAGTTTCTCTTTCTCTCGCTCTTATTTATTTATCTCTTCTCAACAACATAATTGCATTTCTTCTTAGATCTTGCCTCTTTCGTCGAATTAATCAAACCCGTGTCTATCTGACGCACTTCTCCTTTTCGTATCAAAGATGCCGCTTGTGTTTCGTCATTCACAGTAAAACATTATTTGAAACATTTGATTTCTATTTCGCAATTTATTTCGTGAATAATGTTTAGATCGATTATTATCAGTCACGTGTGATGCTAGTCTTCTTTAATTAATAACTCAAAATTTTATTTGGTTGTATTCAAAATGGTAGAGGAATTTTGACCTAATCTACACACACACAAAATATGGGACACTTTGCATTAGACATTTTGATTATTATCGAATAAAAAGATAAGTTTCTTTAGTGCAAAAGTCTTCTCAGATCGTAGAATTTGTCCCTCGCATCGTCATATTAAATGACGTTCTGTGCCGACTATAGTTATCAATGGCGAATTAAGATACATCAATTCTCGATTCTTCTCACTGTATCCTCGTCGAAGACGCTTACTCGCGCTATATAAAGGTATTACGAGCCGTCTACCGAGGACCATCGCGACGGAAGATGGAAAATAAGAAGGGTACGGTCAATAAGGGAGCTCGTGCGTGCTGATACGAGCATATTTCGTCCTCGAGAGGGTAAAGTCTGCGGTCAAAGGAGGATCCAATAATCGGCTGTGGCCACTCTCTTGCGCCGAGTTAACCATCAGACAAGAGGGAAGGACGAGACAAGCTCCAGACCGAGACCTGCACGCGGACGAAATCGGTTAGAGCAAACATCGAGGATATTAACGCGAGTCACTCGACTTTTTAACATCAGTTTTATTGATATTTCAACCATAGACACATAGTATAGGCCGCGCATTCCTATAAAAAAGATGAAGTTAGCATTAGTAAGAGAGCGCAATAAAGGGTAGGATGCTTTCATTATCTAATTGGTGGGGGAGAACGAAAGAAGAGAAGTGATCACATGATCAACACGTTCTTCCTCTCTTTCACTATGTTCCATTCTTTCTCTTTCTTGTTTTCTCTACATCGTCCTCTCCTACAGTATCGTGTGTAACAAAGAAAACACTTGACTTACAAATAAACCTACCCAAAAGGTACACTCCGATTTCTTTCTAATTTAACACAAATATAGAAGTACAAAAAATATTTAGGTTATATTTTTTTATTTTGGCCCACTTTGAGTTTCACGGGTAGTTTATAGCTTTTTAATGTTCTCACTCCTATCATAAACAAGTGCAACAAAAATGCATAAGAAATAAAATTGAATACAAGATATAGGCGTTTTTGGTTTTCTGATTATGAATATAAAGTCAAATGTGTAAAATTATTTGTATAAATAATAAAATGTTTAAACAAAACATGTAAAAAGTTGAAAAAAAAATGATTTATACAAACAATTTCTCGGTTTCGAACCGAGATTTGAACCATTTTTGACTAATTTAGCACAGATTTAATATATTTCGATTGGAATCTCGGCTAAAGAAATTTAGAATGATTCGTGTCTCAGCTATATTGATTTTATTAAAATTATTTAACTGTATCTTGTATTCAATTTTATTTCTTATGCATTTTTGTTGCACTTGTTGATGATAAGAGGGAGAACATTAAAAAGCTATAAACTGCTCGTGAAAGTCAAAGTGGGCCAAACTAAAAAAATATAACGCAAAAAATTTTTGTACTTCTACATTTGTGCCAAATTAAAAAGAAATCGGAGTGTAACTTTTGGGTAGGTTTATTTGTTAGTATCTTCTTGTCCTTCAATATTGGCAGCCGTTCTATAAGAACGCGCACTATTCTATAAGTCTATGTATTCAATATTGCGCGAGGCACGTCAACGTGCATCGTTCCTAATACCATCCTGTGTATATATGTGTATCTATACAAATTTTTAATATCAACTTTGTACGCGCATACGACTATCTTTTCATGTATAACATTTTATCATTGAAGAAACTTCTCGCCCTTTCTTGTTTGTGACAAAATGCACAAGCGGTACATATATAGAGAGAAGAGATTAACTTCACCAAGAGATTTATCTTGATAAATGAACTTTCAACGACGCAAGTGTATATCCAATAACGCGTATATATTAACAGTAATATACGTTTCGTGTCGAGCGTCCGCTTTCCGGACGGGATTATACACGTTTTTCCTCGATTTATTCAGTTCTTAACAATTAGTCCGGGTCTACATAGCTTTTAATAACTAACTTTACCTCGCAAAGTTTTCACGACGGCTGTCCACTTCGATTAACTCGGCGAACGTTATTTCAACGGCTTTTCTTTACGCTCGATGAAATATCCCGGAGCCGGGAAACGATTCGCAGTTGCCCAAACGGCTCGAAACGGCGACGGTAGTGCGAAGTGATTCTGACTTCCGTGCTCTCGAGCTTAAACTTCGGAGTAATACCTTCGGAGTTATCGGGCACGCCTCCAAAGTTCCGCCTCGTTTAACGATAAGTACTTATCAGAACTGATAAAAAATATGGACCGAGTTTATAACAAAGCGGACGTAAGAGGGGGCAGAATATAATTGGACCGCTGCAGAGTACTTCGCGAGCGTTCGTGTTCCATTTATTTGAAGGCGAGACTTCCTCGGAGGATCGTGCGATCGCGCGTTTTACAGAGTTGTGAATCAAATAGACCCGTTAAGACTCCTAGCTAGTCAGGCGAGAAGTTTGCGTCGACGGTGGCGATACAGTCATCAGTGGTAGGATTAAGAATTTCGTTCATCGTAAGTATCGCGTATGGTAAAGCGAATAATGTATACGTGTGTATATGTGTGTATGTATGTAAACAGCCACCTAAATTTTGTCGTCCGAATCACGGCGTTATTACTGACTGTAGTGCTTACATATCACACATAACACAATTGGAAGTGTGAAAATTATCGGATACTGTGCTTTTTGTAATATTTTAAGTATGGTTGGCCCACACAAATTTTAAATTAAATCTAGTTGTGCTAACTAGATTTTATAGTAAAATAATAAGTATATAGTAACAGTAATAAATATAAATATAAATAATATATAATAAAACAGTATAAATAATATATAATAATATATAATAATATATAATAAAATAATAATAGAAAAACAACTAATATATAAAACACATATTAGTTATACAACTATTAACGTTTACATATTAGTTGTATAATTATATATAATATGTAAAAGTAAGATAATTAATTATATAGTTGTAGTAATCACAGAACAATCATTGAGTTACTAGCATTGTAGTAGTGACAAGTTCTGTTCCGCTCTAACCAGATCAGGTACATTGATATAGTTGATAGATATCAGTCATATCAACTGTATATATTACCGTCACACAAAAATAACCAGAGTGATGCAATTATCCTTCTCACAATTAAATATTTTTGGTTATGTGCGCCATATCTTTTTGTCCGCGTACAATTTTAGTATAGTCCAATTTTATTAAAAATATTGTAAAAAAAGAAATGTAATTTTAACGTCATTTTTATTACAATACTTTCCCCGCTTTCTCTCTCTCAAAATCACTTTACAAGTTATTTCAGTTCTTTAGATTTCAGCCCCTCAATCGTCTTAGATTTCCCCTTGGCCAGCCACATTCTTCCCCAAGATAAGTTCTCTTCCATATCACGTAGAGGCCGACCGTCTGACAGCGGACAATTAAATCGTCCTGTGTATCTGTTCCGACTAAGCGATTTTTGTGTGCAAGGAACATCTTCCCCTCGAAGTGACTGTTCGATGTCCATTGCGACTCGACTTTTCATGTTCGGGGGATCTCCCCGGGACATATTATTCCGCGGCGCATGCAAGCGATTCGCCATCGCTCCTCATTCATCGAATCTCCGCGGCGATCTCCGAAGGGAAAGGGCACGGAGGTCGAAAAGAGCGAAAGCGGCGACGAGTAGGTGGAGAAAGATCGCGAGACGACCGGCGAAGCGTTCTTAAATGCCTCTTAAACCTGTCCTTGCCAAGCAAAACCGCCCATATTTATCGTCAATATCGAGGCGGCCCCGGGGAGGCTCTCGCAGCTGGTCGTCCGCAAAATCAAACGGTCGATACCGACCTTCGTCTCGTCCTCGCTCGAGACGATCTGATCGCGACGCAGACAGGGAAGATTATCCTTCTCTTTGTAACTTCGTCTCGACGACGAAGACAAATGGTGTTGCGACGCCGACACACGTAACAGGTCTCGAGAATATTCCACGAATCATAAGAGATGGAAGAATCTTAATAACATGCGTCTTCAATTTCATTGTTAGTCGTAATTTATTCGTAGATTATATTAAAATGCGACGCACGTATTTCCTTTCAATACAAAGATATAATTACTACTTTGAAGGATAAAAGGCAAAGTCAGTTGCAAAACGGTTTAGACATATCTTTTCTATTCAACGTAAAATTGATTTATGAATATTACAATCATTGCTGTTTACAATGTAGAATAAAAAATAAAAAATAATAGCAAGATTCTTTTTGTCTCTCCGAGCATTAATATTATTTCTCTATATGCAAACAGTTGATATTTTTTAGTAAACAACTATCTTTTTATTATTTTATATAAATTGTATCTATATTTGAAAAGTTAGCTATGCAAGAAACATTGCTTGGTATAATTAATTTTTAACTTCAACAAGTTAATTCAACGTTAATTTAATTTCTAATTAAATCAGTTTAAATAACTTTTAACTTAATCAGAGAGAGAAGTTAATTTTAGCTATTGATTTTAGTTGATTAACCATTATTTAACTTGGTTAAAAAAAATAAAATTAATTTACCCAACTCTGCTGGTGATATTTGACGTCACAACCTAATAAACACCAACTAACAGTAACATTAACGTCAATGTTAAAATTTTCCACTCAACAATGTAATTTACATAATACTCACTTATGTTATATGTATATTGTTGAGTAAGAAATTATAACATTAATGTTATCTTACTGATAATTGCTGTTTACAAGGAACTTCCGAAAAGGATTCAAGAAGAAAACGTAAATATTTTTTTATTATATCCTTATCTTCAGATAAGAACTTAACAGAGTCAATATTTACATCTCGTGTATTGTTACTTCGGTTCCTGTCATAACGAAACCGTCCGTGGGCAGTGACTCATAATTGTGATAAAACTTGGAACACTTAACTTTCTTCTAACTTCGTTAAAAAAGAATATCTAAACCGTTCTGCTTCCCTCCCCCCTCTCTCTCTCTCCATTTACACAACTAATTTCCAATTTATTATTGTGTTTCGAATCTCCTCAGAAAATACGCTCGGCATCTACACAGAAAAAGAACTCAGTTCCGTGTCTGATTTTCTGTTGTCTGGGGACCGATAACTGCAGACGAAAATACGTTTGTAGGAATAGAAAGATTCCTGTAGAGAGAGAGAGAGAGAGAGAGAGAGAGAGAAAGGAGGTTTCTATTCAGTCAATTGTTCTCAGTTATCTCCACCGAGTGTTAACGCAGCCGAATGTTCAGACGAATGTTTCGGTCGCCGTAACGGAGATATTGTTTCTCGGCGCCGAGTTTTCTTGCGGTCCCAATCCGGTTACGAGATCTTCCTCCGGTGTGGCAGTAAGCAACTGCTCGCGTCAAGACAGGCAATCACCTTCGCGGAAAAAGGGTAAATCGGCTTTGCTCTAGTCTTTTCGGCCACACTTTCCGTGGGGTTAGGGTCTAGTCTTTTAGAAATAACTCGTTAAATTCTCTCTCTCCCTCTCGGAGAACGTACCTTCTTTCGCAGTGTTGCCGCAAAGTGCATTTGCATACGTCTATCCTCTTCCACCCGTCCGCCCGGCCGTCTCTCTTTCCCCGTGGCAACCCACGATTCCCACGTCAATCATTAATCAATCTACAACACGTGCGCCTGCTTTAATTCGCGCCTGCAACATTCTCGATCTACCTTCTCCACGGTGTTGCAAGGCTGCCTCCGTTGCGTTGCGGTGTCATGCGTCGCGACAGGTGGCGATCGTGGCCGTTTTTCGTTGGACCGTGGCAAGAACGCCACATTGTTGCCTGCCTAAACACCACAGCGCCCCGCGGGCCACTGCTCGGCCTCACTCGGCCAACCCCTTCCCGCGGGGCCGAGAGGAAAACGTAACGCGAGAAGCCCTTCGGCCGCTGCTGCACGGTGACAGCAGCGAGCATGCTGACAAATGCCACGTAATAGGCCCGATTGTTCGCCGTCGGGCCAATTTGAGTGGCAGCCCGGTAATTTCGTTCGCCGAGAGAGAAGCCCCACCGGAAAAGGCGATCCCGGGCGTATCCTTTCTCTCCTTGCAAGAGTCGTAGAGCGCGAGTCGTGGCGCACGGTGACAGATTAAAGGGGTTGCTCGTATCGGTCTTCTGTATCTGCGCGTGTGTGTAAATATGTGTGTGCGTACATGCGCGTGTGCATACATGCGTGCGTGCGTTTCTTCTCCTTTTTTCAGCCACGGGCCCGCCATTCACGACGACGCAGTCCCCGGGTAACCGTATGTCGTTTCGACAGGGACCCACGCGCAAAGGGGCGAGGACGAAGGTGGGGCGCGAACGAGTTTTGCAGAATGTAGCGACTCGGGCAAGCCCCGGGAAGAACCCCGGTAGCCGCGGTAGACTCGGTACAGTGTCGCGTTTATGGTTTGTACATCGAATCCACCTCCCTCCGAATCCGGGTCCCCTGTCCTCACTGCGAACGATCGTTTCGAGTCCACCAGATCCCCTTTCGGCGTCGTCGTATTAGATAATCACAGGAGGGGACGGACGGGGGCAGCGCGCCAGGGACTTGAAAGGCCCCGACATCCATCATCCATGGGAGAGGGACGTCGCCCCGCGTTCGCGTCCACCGGACCAGACCGAAACTCGCCTTCCCCCTTCGTTCGTACTCCGCTGCAACGCCGGCTTTAGGTTTATCTGCGCCCGGAGCTACATGAATCTTGACTTACTAGTCCATTTCGAGAATCTAATGACATGAGGATCATGTCAAGGAAATTCAGAGGTTTTGACATTCTGCGTCATGTGTCGTCTCAAGAGAGCACCGTTCTTCTCATTTTGAAGTGGACATTTAATTAATTACAAACCAACATTAGTAATTACGAACAACTAGAAACGACTATCACAAGCATAAATCTAAATTAAAAGAGAGAGAGAGAAAACTGCTATGAGTTATTAAAGTTATTTAAATTATTACATTTAAATATAAACATTTAAAAATTCTGCGTTGCGTATTGTCTCAAGAGAGCGCCGTTCTTCTCATTCTGAAATGAATATTTCATTAATTGCAAACCAATATATCAAGTAATTACGATTAATTAGAAACGACCATCATAAACAGAAACACAAATTAAAGAGGATAGAAGAGCAAAAGCTATTGGAGATATTTAAATTATTACGATAAAATATAAACGTATATTTAAAAATTCCGTGTCTCATATCGAGTTATTGGAGTTATTTAGATTATTAGAATTAAATATAAACGAATTCTGCGCACTGCCTCTTTCCTTCTTTCTACCTTAAGCACCCCAAACGACTGTTCGTTTCGATTATCCCTATGAAGCCGGTACGTCCCGCTCGCTCCTCTTCTTTTCTCTCCCTTCCATTCCTCGTCTATCCCTCCAGTTCGGTCGTGTATACGCCGGGGTAAATACAATGTCAACGAGCACATTAATGTTGTATCCCCCCACTTCTCCTCAGCGCAGTTTCTTTCATGGCGCTCGATCGACCGCTACACTCGAATCTCGAATAGCTCGTGGAAATTGCAGTAACAGTCGGCCTAATGGAGATTGGATTCCGGATAAGGCGATCCTGTTCCCTGGCGGAGCTCCCACACGGGCCAGCAGTCCTTTGTGATTGATGAAAATCTTCGATAGTTGACAATTTTGCTTTCAATAAGCGGTAGCCGTCGATATCGCGTCGATGTCGTCTCGCGGGAGGACAGCACCCCGGGCTTTTGTGCGGCCGGTAACTTCTTATTACGCGAGAATTCTATTTGCTGGACTGTGTGTGCATTCGCTTGCACTCTCGCGTCTGTATATTTAAAGAGCTCAGTCGCGAAACAGGTGTGCGCACACGTATATATGGATGCGTTTGTGTCCCGCAATATCCAGCGCCGATATCGCGGCTCTGGAAAGAAGATTGAACCAGACCCGCATGCAAAGTTCTGCGAAGTTATCTTTGCTCGCGGCGCACTTCATCTTTATTGATGCATTCTTCGCGGCGATTGAAAGCGGAGGAGGGGGAGAGAAGGAGGGGGAGATCGATAGAAAAAGCTGCTTACTGCGTTTTATACGCGCGCGTTGCGACGTGACTTCCGCATTTTACGTACTCAAGGGAAGATCTGAAGCATGGAAGGTAAAGCCCAGTACAGGCAGGCTCTCATTCTCTCTCTCTCTCTCTCTCGACGCGATATCTTTCCAGTGATTCTCGCGACGCATTTTGCGCTTTAAGTCAAACGACGCTGTCTCCGGCGCGAGCGCATTAATATCGAAATTATACCGCTTTGCGCGGTTAAAATTGCGTTACTTCTGTCTCGAGGGCGATCCCGCACTTTATTACGTATCATCCATCACGTTGGCGCGTTTATGTATAGACGACGCAAGTAGGGCAATCTCGAAACGTGGGCCGCGCCGTAATAGATATGTAAATCCGCAATTTAATTGCGTCTTTGAATAATAAGTAATTCAGTCATACATTAAAACGCTCTAAGGGTGAACTTTTCATAATGGCAAAACGTCTCGATTGAGCCGGTAATACGTCCGGCTCGCTCGACATGAAGTGGCGCTAACGGGAACTCGTTGCTCCGTGAACTGTGATTCAACTTTAATCGCGCGTATATCTTGCACACAGTGATACATTAAGTATTCTACATAAGGAGAATCTCACAGTAAAAATTACTACGGAATTTTGTAACTGAGAAATAGGTCGACATTCCGCAGTGACTCATTATCCTTTCATTTCATATGTGCTATTTATATTTTAGGAACTGAAATGTGCTATTAAAGAATTTGCTATGCTTCTTAGCGAGATAGACCTTACTGACAGCCTGTTCTTGCACCACATAATAAAATCGGAAAGAGAATTTATATCAGGGAAAAAATTTGTAATGTTCCCTTCGTGTATCACGATAAAAAGTACACTGTATATGTTCCATCTAAGAGAGACTAATTTTCTAGTTTCAATTATTCTCTTGTCGCAAGTTGAAATTTTGCTTCTACCGTGTAAACTCCGTCAAACTTAAAAGATCGATGCGGAATCTCTCAATACATTTTCATTCGTTCATAACTTTCATAAAAATAATCCAAATTCAACGTTTTATTTTTAATCGGTGTAGAGACATCGAGAAATATAAATCTATTAATGATTCAATAAATGCAATAAAAATTATAATGAAAAATGAAACCCAAATTTTCAAAAACGTAACGTTTGGAAAATTGATTGGGGTAAATTTCACCTATGTTTAGAATTCTGGAGTTAAAACTCACACATTAATCGATTACGATTGTGTGTATGTATGTGTATATGTGTGGAATACTACGAACCAAAACATAACAATCAGTTCTTCAATAAGTACCGCGCGTGTAACCGTCCTGTTTAATTTAACAAGTTGTCTAATCGGTATTTTGGTCACCTTGAAGGTCCGGAATGCTTTGAGAACGCTTTCTTGTTGGCATTTAACGGAAAATCACTTTGTTGATTATTTTGATACTCTCGCACGTCGCGTACTTATCCATGACCGAGTCAGTACATCACAAGCCGTCGAACGGCACACGTATCGCGACGCGAAGTGCGTATATCGACGCGCAGTTTACATTTCCCGTTGTGTGATTAAAACATTTCGTGGATTATTGAAATATTATCGGACTCCCGTCAACATTGTATTAATTAACACGCTTTTCTCCGATCGAATCGTGTTTGTGCAAGTCTCAGTGCCAGTGAATAACCTGCGCGACGAAGCAACTTGGAGTAGAATACTGGATCGGGAAGCCAGGATGCAGAAAGTCGAGACGTGGCCAACAATACATTATATACAGGTATTCCCAGCTGTGTCAAGCTATTTATTATACAGAATGTTTCCAATTTTAATCTTCTTGAACTCACTCCACAGTTTCTCTTTGCCGCAGCAACATTTTTATTCACTATTTTTTCAATTTTTCCATTAAAAAGACACTTCCAAACTTTAACAAAAAACAATAGTTTATAGTGAAATATTAATGACACTATTATTTCGGTTTACAATAGTTTATGCTTAAATAAACTTTTAACATTACATTTTTATTATAAAAATCGGCCTTACATGCTGTGAATGACTTTATTTTTTATATAGAAAGTGAGTTCAAGAAGGTTAATAAACATATAATGGAGTCAGCGAAAATAACAAGATATCTTTGTCGAAATTTATAATCCATTTTAAAGCCAGTATTTATAGTTCGTTATGATTATCGGATAAATAATGATCATAATTTTATGAATTTTCGATCATCCGTAAATTTTTAACACTTATTTTATACAATATAAGAAATATCGATCCTTACAGTTGAATAACTGTTTGAGTGCAAATCTAGAATTATCTTCTCAATCAAAGATTATAAATAATTTACAACTGAGAATACCGCCACCAAAGTCCCGCAAGTGATGAAATTTATTTATTTATTAATATTTGTTGGGATGAGAGTTTTACTTTGAATCTGACAACTTTCTTCTTCACTGGATAACTTTGTTATTATGCCAAATCTAAATTGAAATCCCTAGTGATAGCATACTGTTATCTTTGGTTTTTCTTTCTTTTCTTTTTTTCCTTTTTAAATACCCAAATCGTATGGAAATATTAAACACAAAAACAAATAATAAAGATTATGAAAATAAAAAGTTTATCGCGTCTTGTTTGAGGAAACGCGTAAAACGGCTTGAAAAAAAGACAATCGCGAATAGTGAACCGTGTAAAAATATAAAATTCAGCTTTCGATTTTTTCTTTTCTTTTTTTTCTTTACGATACGAATTTTGGGGAACGCCGTCATTACAAGGGCGCGAGCCTTCCTCACCTGCAGACGATATAATACCAAAAAAGACATATGGCTCACGCGTAAAATTAGAAAGAAACAGGAAGTAGCATCGCAATATCAATACTGTGTCCGCGCAACCACACGTCTCTCTTTTTTCGTGCGTGCCTACGCATCCAATACGATGCCACATAGAATGCGGAACGTGCAACCGTATGCAGTTGCAGCCACCTGCAGACCACGTCTGCCCTTCACTTTTTTCGGCGGCGGCGGAACACTCGCGATGCGCGAGCCATTGTGGCGAATAAAACCACTCTAAAGACTTGTATTATGCGCTCCGCAAAATTAAATTGTAAAGTGTGTTTCCTTGAAACGTGTGCGGTGCGTGAGGCACACTCCTTCATGCTTAACGGGAAAGAGACAGAGAGAGAGAGAGAGAGAGAGAGAGGGCGAGAGTTTTACGTACATAATACATATATATAACGCGAACGGGAGCGTTATCCTCTGGAGTGAATTTACATTCGTACGACTATTGACAATTCCGCGCTAAACTTACGATTACTAAGCGCGTCACTCGTGGCAATTGCATCGCGTGAATTGTACTTAGTGGCTGTACTTTGAAATTAATCAACAAAGTTGCTGATTAGAAGCCTCGGGCATTAATACGCGAAGAGCACATTGTGTTTCAAATCACTCGTAATTTAAAAAGGAACCTAATTTTGGAATTTCGTTTCATTTCGTGGAATGCTATTGCGAATTTCAGGTAATCCGCACGTATCACATAAACGCGTACCATATACATACACATATGCATACACTGTTACAATTGAATTGAATGAATTATAATTCGATTCAATTTAATGCACCTTTAAGGCATTTGAATTGTCCTCGCCAAATAGATTTAAAGCGAAACCGCGGCTGGAGGGTTGCTCCAGCATCACTTTCTCCTCGCTTTCGGTTCGTAACAAAGACGACGACGTTTATCTCGGATGTGGGGGAGTATTAGCATAATTCGGGCCGAAGCGCAGACCAGATTCCTTCCTGAAGAGGCCCCGGTGTCAGATGGCGAGCCTATGAAGGAGCGCCGGCACTCGGAGGTCTCCCGTAGGGCGGTTATACACTGCTCCGAGATTAGCATCGGCGAACGTAAACGCCAGGAAATAAGCGGCGACGCGGAGAGGAGGCTCCTCTCGCGCGCATTGTCGACCGCCGAAAATTTATTCCGATCCTTTGTTCTGGAGCGCCTGTTACTTATCATTAGTACGGCTTTACGCTCGGAGCACTTGTCTCAGGGTAGATCGAGGATATCCGACCACCGCCTCGGGTACTCCTTTTTTCCCCCCGCTCTATCCCTCCGTAAAGTAACGTTGATTATCGTTCCCGGTTGAGATATTTGTTAATCCCGGCAAGGCTTCCGCAAAGGTGACGCGCTACTCGAATTATCGCGCCGTATTTTAGAGGAAGGTTCAGACAACCGAAGAGTGGAGGTTTTTACGAATTTTTTTCAAAGAAATGGATATCAAGGTTTTGACGATATTATTTATCGTTGTTTTGAGTATAAAAATATTATTTTTAATAAGTCGGAATTCCTTCGAGATCTTTGCGCTGAGTGCGGTAGACGACATTACAGCTCGTATAATAATGTGTGAAACACATTAATTAAATTGAAAAGTTTAGAAACTCTATTAAATTTGTTGGAGGACGAACCTAAATCCTCTGGAAAATTTCTAAAATTAGTATTTCACTCTGGAACGCTTGTCCCGGAACACTAAATAAAAAAAATAAAGAGAGAAGCAGGAAAAATAACTCGTAACTTTGAAATGCCGCCATTTTGTTAAATTTTTATTTTTCGCATATAACAAGGGTTCATTCTCCAGCAGATTTAATATAGTTTTTAAATCTTTTGTCCGATTTCTCTTAGATTATTATACAAGCTATATGTTGTCCATTAGTTAGGAACATTCAACGATGTCGGCTTTTAATAAAAAAAACTTAGATCAGGAAAATTCAAAATTTTTTTAACCCTCTACTGCCCAAATTAATTTCTCATGTTTAAAAAATGTTTCATGTACATAGGATGTTTAAAACTAAAGTACTCAATACATATAAGATAAAATTTTACTTCTCTAATTTTTTATTTTCCCAGAATAGGTTTGTCACTCTGAGGTCACGTTAGGCAGTTACTATCGCTGCTAACACACTAAAAGAAGGCAGCGATATTTATGACTTTTACGTCATATCGGTCGAAATAGAAACATTCATATTGGAGATAAATAATGATGAAATTGAATTATGACTTCAGAGTTACAGTGGGCAGTAGACGGTTAAATAAAAAAATAATTTTTGTATGCTTAAAACAATGACAAATATTGGTCAAAAGCCTTATTATATCAAAACAATTATTATATAAAACAATGACAAATATTATAGTCAAATCCCTATATTGATATCTTTATCCATTTCTTTAAAAAGAAAATTGTAGAAAATTCCTATTTTTACTATTTTTAACCGCTGCGTGGGAAGACTACCGAAACAGGGCAAAAATACGTCTTGCGAAGCAACAGAATGATAAATTTGCAAAACAATACATTTTTCATACGCCACGTTATCTCGGCACCATCCTTATATAGACGCATTATTTTAACATCGCATTTGCGTCAGTTGGCTTAAACAGGATATAGTACGTTTACTTTAATTTGCTCCCGCTCCAGAAGTGGACATGACTAAATTTTTGTCACTCAGGAAAAGTTCAAGTGATGCCAGACGATGACGCTCATCGCATGGCGCCTTCGTGAAATATTTGAGGATGCCCAGGTGGATCGGTCCAGGCATAATTTAGCGGCGCGTGGGCTAAGTATTTTTGTCGCTGTCATTCCACGGTGTATCCCACGTTATTATCTGCCACGCGCTCGTTTACTGACGTTAAGCTCAACGTCAGTAACGGATTGACGCACAAATCGACGTCGTGACCGAAATGTTACCATATTCTAAAACGAGTGCTTGACGTGCGATTCGATAATAGAACACAATTCCGTGTACATGTATTTCTATTTATAAGCAGTAAAAAGAAAAATGGGAAAGTATTATTGGGCAAAGCGAAACGTCATATCCAAGTACGGCGTATTCTTACTAAATCGGAAGAATCCATTAATGTTTCAACGCCATCTATCAATCCGCCAACGTTTTAAACTTTCATTATTCTGATTGTTACATCATTAAGCGATAACCACAACTTTCGAAATACTCAGAGCGATGTAACGTAATGTAACGTAATGTAACGTAATGTAAGCATTTATTCGATGTGTGCATAGGGAAAAAATTTCGTGAATGAAAATTCGGCAACGTAAAATGTTATCTCTATTACCGCGACTGGACTGTTCTTGTCTGAACGTCCAGCTATGTCAAAATCTGGTTGCAATAACTGAGAACAATTGATTGAGTAGATATCTCATGCTGGAATTCTTCTATTCTTGCAACCAAGTTTTTTTTATCTACATACAGAAAAATACCGTTCTATTACTAAGAACAACGATAATTACTCAATTCATTTTTCTTCTTTTAAATAATGGTTATTTTCACCGAAGAATTTTTTTTATAATACTCTTAAAATATATTTATCACAAATTTTAGGAAAGCTCATTATCATGTACTTAAATACTTAAAAGAAAAAATTATTCATATGCTCATGTACTCAAAAGAAAAATTTATTTTCTTTACAGAAGTATTATAAAACTTTATCAAAGGAAACGTTAGTTTAAGGACTCAGAATATACTTTGAATAAGTTTTATTTGCTTGTGATGGACTTATGATAATTTTGTGGATATAAAAACTTATGAAATATTTAACGCAAGTAATATTTAATTAAATGTCGTGTGCATTTTTCTGATGTGCAATCTTTATTTTTTATCAGACAAATGAATAATTCAGTTTCTTCTTTCGTGGTAAAGAGAGAGAACATAATAAGTAATTAATCGGTAAATTATTCAGCACGCGACAATCAACTTCGTTGCTTCTTCAAGAAAAATTTACAAC